GGTACAATTCTCTCAAAGCATGACTGATTTGGGATAGTCATATAGATCTATAACCTACCTCAGAAGTAGTTTTTGAGACATTAGACATTATTTGAAATTTACTAAAAGCTAACAGAGGAATTGAACTTTCTAATGTAACAGGGGAGGCAGGTCATGAGAAGCACACAGGGGACCAAGTACACTGCTCAGAAAGCTTAAGGTCCAGTGGCTGAATGGCTAGCAGCTCTTGTTCCCCCACAGCACTTCACCAAACTTCAAGCAGTGTTGACCCACTTTTCAGTGCTGCTAAAGTCTGTTGGCTGCAGGCCAGGAAGGAAACCCATCAGTCAGGTGGTGCTGTGACGGATAGAGAGGAATGGTTTATTCCACAGTGCTTCCATTTTGCCACCTTACTTAACACAAAGGATTTTATGGTTTGGCTGCAGGAACAGGGACCTAATTAAATACTTTGATCTTGAAACTACAGCTATTAGCATTAGCACTAGAAGGAATAATTGCTGAGTTGACCCTCAGGTTGTAGGTTCCCTCAGAAAGTAATGGTAGCTTGCCCTATCCCCAGTGTAGGTGAGAGAGGTCAACATTGTCTGGATATTACAACATGGGTCCACTCACACTGACCCTGCCAGCAAGTGCCTTGGGATAGAAAAGAGGTCTTTCTGGTACATGGAATTAGAAACTGATGCTCTAATTTTCTCATAAATCATGCTAATATACTCTAACATATTTTGGGGCTTCATTTTGTCCTTTATAATAGTTTCATTGTGTTAAACATCAAATCTATACTTTTAATATTTCAGATGCACAGTATAGTGCTCTTAACTTTGCATATTTGTTTGTTAGCAGGTTTTGTACTTAGTTCATTTTGTAACTGAGACTCTATGTCTCTGTATTTGGGGATTTTCCAAATCCTCTGTGATTAATAGCTAAATTTCTACTCTGAGTCTTGAAATTTCACTTGCACTTGCTCTCCTGTGTAAGTGATACCATGGAATATTCATCTTGTGACTGGTTTAATCTCACTGGATGTTACCAGGTCCCAAAGCTCAGCTATGTTGCACATGGCAAGACAACTTTTAGCTTGAGTAATACTCCATTCAAAATCCTTATGTTAACATTCAGTCTTTCAGGGTAAAACTCAGAAATTAGCTGAGAGAGAGAGAGAGAGAGAGAGAGAGAGAGAGACAGAGAGAGAGAGAGAAATGCAAATTGTCTCTAACAATGAATGGAGTAAATCCAGGCCTTTCATTAAGCATTCAGATACTTTAAGGATAATCAAGAAATTACTCAGCAACTCCTTAGGGAGAGTCTCTAAATATAAAGAAAAGTATACATTGTCCCAAGAATGCTATGCTATGGATCAAATAGAATCAAGAGCAGTTTCATAACAACTATCAAAGAGGTTCACTGAGATTCTCTGTCCTGTTGCTGTGTCCTTGTTGTCTAACAGAGGTGCCTATTTCTGACTCAGTTTTTGTGATTTCTACTCCTCAGTGGTCCTGGTAAAAGAAATAAGATCTATCTTTATTTTCCTGCATACTTATTTTTGGGTATTTTGTACTAAGTACATAAAATAAATGTTCATAAGCCATCTTGAAAAATTACACTTGGTGATTTTGTTTGGAAAATCTTCAAGCATACTACGTGTAAGTATTTGATTGGATTATTTCTTTTTAAATGTGACATTTATTTCTTCTCCATCTCCTTCTCCTCCTGCTCCTCTTCCTCCTCCTCCTCCTCCTCCTGCTCCTCTTCTTCCTCCTCCTCCTCCTTCTTTTGAGAGTTCTACTGTAAAACCCTTACTCACCTGGAACTATGTAGACCAGTGTGGCCTCAAACTTACAGAAGTTTCCCTACTTCTTTCTCCTTAGTGTTGGGATTAAAAATGTGCTCCACCATGACCAATAGCAGCAGTTTTTAAAGCCAGGACTTCTCACAGCCTAGTTCATCATTTCTTTTTTAGATACATAACTGTATAGCCAACAACTGACAAAAGTAAGAATGTTGAAGCACTAATTAATAGGCATAAATTTAGGATTATGTTGTTGTTTTAGAGACAGAAAGTATACCAAATAATTCATTATTTCATTTCAACCTCTTTTAAAGCACTGGGGAATCTAGAGGTTGCAGGATATTTGTTAAATTCTCAGTTATTATGGAAATAAGGTTTGAGTGAGCTTCCTTCCTGATCTCTTTCAGATACTACAGTGTGTTTTTAACATCAAGAGATTTTAATCTATCCACTTCTGTGGTAGTAGCGAAATGTTCTTCATTTTTTGATATGAACTAATTTTTTAAAAAATATGTTTTTGAAATGTTCATACACTGTATTTTGATGGTATTTAGATTCCCTCCCTTATTCACACCTCCATCCACTGTCCAAAAACAATTATGTATGTGTATCAGACTCTCTCTCTCTCCCTCTCTCTCTCTGTCTCCCTCTCTCTCTCCTTTACCCTCCCAGCAGTCATCAATTCCTGGAAGTTCCTAAGGTTGGTTTGGGATTTCTTACTCACTACCCCATGACTATGCTATGATTTTGTCTGGTTTGAGATTCCGTAGCACCTGTTCATGCTGTCACCATTGCTGTGAGTTCATATGAGTAAATGACCAGCTGTGGAAAGAGCATTTGAGTCTCTATTGAACTTCAAAACTGGTGAGAGAAAACAATTTTCTCTCCCTTAATCTTATGACTGTTGATATTTCTTATGTGCACCTTCTTTTCTAGCATTTCATGATTACAAGTCTAGGCAGCAGCAATAACAAGAAGTGTAAACTATAACTCTTTTATTTGTTGAAGATATTTCCCTAATAGTATAATCTCCTATACTTTCTTATATTTAATAAAAATAAGATGTTTATTTTGAGAAAGAGCAGGATATAAGGTAGTAACAGCCATATGAACAATATTTTATGGATGCATATTTATTTATTTATTTATTTACTTATTTATTTTTGAGGTAGAGTCTCCCTATAACCCCAGCTGGCCTGGAAATCACTCCATAAACCAGGCTAGCCTCTGTGCCCTGAGTTCTGGGATTAAAGGCCTATATCACCACACTCAACTGTGAAGTAAATTGGTTTATGATCAGTTCTAAGCATAATTTTCTAAAATTTTATGATTATATTTGCACAGATGGGTGTCCTTACAATTTTCAGTGTGAAGTAAAATTTTTCTTTTATTCTATATTACACAAAAGATACCATAATGTGTCTAAGCATTCATAAATATGTTATATATAGTATATTTTATCTCTACAATAATGAAAATCATTGTAAATGTTGCATGCAATAAAAATTTTTAAATGTATTACTAGATCACTGTTTTTTTTTAAACCACTGTTTTATCTTTTAAATATATTATTCTTTTTGCTAAAGACTATTTTTTAGTCAAAATTGCATGACAACAAAGCCAATGGTCTCTCTTTTCTGAATTTGCTAAAATTTCCTCTTAATCCCCTGGATTTTCTTAGCAAAGTGTATCTAATTTGCTACATAAGCTCAAATATTTCCATTAAGATGAAAATACACATATACCATGAATAATATTTATATTAATTAATATGAAAATAACATGTTAAATTGTTATGAAAATTCTTATGTAGAATGGACACATTACTATCTTTAGCTGTTACTATTATCACTTCAAAGTTAAGATAAAACAATATACATAAATACATAATCTTGGAATTATTTCCAAATTCCATGGACCATTGAATGATTTTGTGATCCTTCATCCCTCCCAAGAACAAAGAAATATTTGTTTAATATCAGAGTATAGAGTTTTAAATAAGTTATATATCCCAAAGTAACCCTGTGTAAAGTGAATCAATGTGTGCTATTGGATAAATCTATATAACACGTTTCCTAATTATTTCTTCACAAAATGACAATTTACTGGGTGATCTGCTGTAGATTTTTTTAAAGTATCATGTCATTCACATAGTTTTAAACTTGTCAACGCTTTCAGGAGGACTACCTGTAAGTTAAAGGTCATGTAGGACTATTATTTTCTTTTGTAATACTATAATTTTTAAGGCAGGGATTCTCTTAGCCAAGACTGGCTTTAGATTCATTATGTAAACAAGGAAGGTTTTGAACTCTTCATCTTCTTTCTTCTAGGTCCTCAGTGCCACAGTCATGGCATACACCACCACACTTGACCATTTGACATTGAAATCTATATTATCATATATTAATTGAGGAAAATAATGGAGTTAATTTTGAATTTAAAATATGTCAGTAATAAATTTGATCATTCTCAACTCCATATTACCTTTGATGGTCCCTCCCTACCACCTGCTATTCCCCTATCCTTTCCCAATTATTGAACATATTTTAATTTATGGAATTCTAAGCAGCATAAAAAGTAATTGATAGAAATTCTAAATACTTATTTAAACATTTATCACACCATACTATATAATAAATTATTAATACACTATACAACTGTAGTTTTATAAAAGCAATAAGAATATTTGAACACTATAACAAAAATTCGCAAAGCTGATATCAAATTTTAATGTTAAAGCAGGTTTCCTTTTTGTTCTATAAATCTATCTATACATATAGACAAGTTACGTACTTATTTTTATCTTTCAATCATCTTTGTATATATCTAGATTCTATCTATCATATATCTCATGCATCTATTATATTTATAAATCTTAGATTCTCAATCTCAGTAGTATTGATATTTAAAGTTATTTCTAGAAATAACATGTCAGTGGCAGGCTTCCTCACAATGTGCCAAAGAAAACATCAATCTGCATCTAAAATATTATTGAGTAAAATTACTTGTTGAGAGCAGTGTTGTGTACAATTATGCATCTCTATGGATATCATTTAAATAAGTGTGCAAGTATTTTCAAATATCAATGTTGAAAAGTTTGATTTCTCCTATTTAAAACGGCATTGAATAATAAATGTTCTGCATATGGTAACATTTGAAATTTATTCACTGTAATGAAGTCTAACAATTATAGGTTTTCTGATACAGGGGAATGAAGAAATACAATCTCACAGTGATGAACGAATTCATTTTGATGGGCATCACTGACCGTCCTGAGCTGCAGGCCCCATTATTTGGGCTGTTCCTTGTCATATACATGACCTCAATGGTGGGCAACTTAGGAATCATCATCCTCACCACTGTGGACCCCAGGCTGCAAACCCCCATGTACTTCTTTCTCAGACATCTTGCTATTACAGATCTTGGTTATGCCACAGCTGTTGGACCAAAAATGCTGGTAAATTTTGTTGTGGATAAAAATACAATCTCTTATACCTCTTGTGCTACACAGCTAGCTTTTTTTCTTGTATTCATTGGGAGTGAACTTTTTATCCTGTCTGCGATGTCCTATGACCGCTATGTGGCCATCTGTAACCCTTTGCTTTACACAGTCATCATGTCACCAGGGTTATGTCGGGCACTAGTGGCAATGCCCTATCTCTACTGCACATTCGTGTCCCTCCTGGTCACAGTCAGCATTTTCACTTCATCCTTCTGTGGCCACAACGTGATCAATCATTTCTACTGTGACTGCATCCCGTTGATATCACTACTCTGCTCAAATACGCAGAAAATCTCATTTATTGTTATGATCTTTGCAGCTTTTGATTTGATTGTGTCTTTTCTGGTTGTTTTGGTTTCCTATCTCCTCATCCTCATAGCCATTCTCAGGATGAACTCTGCTGAGGGCAGACGCAAGGCTATCTCCACCTGTGGGTCCCACCTCACAGTGGTCACAGTCTTCCACAGGACTTTGATATTTATGGACCTGCAGCCCAAGTCGAGCCATTCCACCAACACTGATAAGGTGTCTTCTATCTTTTACACCCTGATTATCCCCATGTTGAATCCCTTGATCTATAGCTTGAGAAACAAAGATGTAAAATTTGCCCTACAAAGATCATGGGTAAATATTTGTAATGTACTTTCTTAAAGGTTACACACAATCTGAATCCTACAAATCAGGGAAGAATGTGACTCTGTTAAGAATGCACAGAGTGGCGTTGGAGAGATCGCTCAGTGGTTAATAACAGCGGTTGTTCTTGCAGAAGACCCGAATTCGAACCCCAGCACCCACGTGACAGCTAACAACTGTCCCTTAACTCCAGTTCCAGGGTTTCTGACAGCCTCTTCTATCCTTCACAGCCATTTCACGACACGGGTGCACTTACCAACATTCAGGCAATACACTCATACACATAAAATTAAAAAACAATAAACAAAATATTTCTTTAAGAATGCGTAGAGAGCAGAGATTGCTCATTCCATACCTAAAGATTGGTACTACTGGTAGCATTTAAATTTCTAACTGCCAGGAAGATCTTATTGAACAAACATTGAAAGATTTTGTGATCTAGAATTGAGGATTTATAGTATAATAATTAATTTTTATTACACAAAATAGGCTTAGGATATAAATATCATAAAAATGAATACCAGTTGTATACTGCATTCTTGTGAGAAACAATTGTAGATACTGAAGTGGAATTATTATTATGTGGTATTTGCATTACACATGTTACTTTTTCACTACTCCACAGCTCTGTATGTATCTGTTTTTACTATCGAATGGCTTTGTTGCTGTTTTGTTCAATAAATGCTCACTCTTTTTAAAATCTCTAAATACAGAATTCTTACTTAAAATTAACACCTATATGTTATTTTAAGTCTGTGTATAGTGTTAATATCCAACTACTAAAATTAATGTCAGGTTTTGTAACCTGTCAATTAAAGAACTTTAGTCAGTAAAATTTTATGTTTTAAACAACAGTGACTGAGAAACCAGTGAAATGTTGAATAAGAATAATATAAGTACTAAAGAATGGTTCTCGAAACAATTTGTGACCTAAACTTATGAACACAAGTAGTTAGAAATTACTGTTTTCCTTCAAACAGTCACTAAGAAATATTGGCAAAAATTGTTATGAATAAGATCTTAAAATGGTATTAGGAAATAAATCTATCTTTCCACCCCCAAACCATAGTAATCTGGATAGAGTGTTGAATTCTACTAAATATTTAGGCAAAAGAGAGTTACCAATATCTAGGAATACTTCTGGATCTAAAAGGAAACTATATCTTTGAACATTTCAAGGAACATATCACAGACCTTAAAACAAAAAATCAATGGAACAAACAACAACAACAGAAAAAAAACAGATAAAGTAAATCAATGTTTAAGCAAAATTTTAGCTGGTAATCCAAATATTTATAAACAATAATATATGATACTATGCATAAACATGAAATTTATGCTTGGATAAAAATTCAAAATGCCATTTCCATTACATCAGGGGACTGAAAGAAAGCATGCCTACAACATATCAACTGATACATAGCTGTGTGAGACGCAATGTACAGTAGTTAATAGTTTTATAACCAAATTAATATTAAAACCAAAATTTATAAAAATTGGAAGGATTTTCATCTTTACTCTTTTTTGTTCATAGTTTTAGATTTATTATAACATGCACCTTATTTTTTCCTGAAGAGGAATTTTTTCATTCTATAATTCCAAAAGAGATATCTACTCACAAAAGTAAATACAATCAAAAGATAATTTCCCTGAACTGATCATTCATTTGGAATAATACCTAAAAAGCACACATGACATTTATTATCATCAATTATTCTTTCCACAAGATATTTGCTTTCCTTTGGAAGACCCTCTTCACTAATATTTTCATGGTTCCTTCTTTGATACCAGTACTAACCACAGTCATTGATACACATCATCTGTGCACATCCTAGACTTATAAATAATGATCACGTTATGTGCATGCATGTGTATGCATATGCACCCATGAGCATGTGTGTTTCTATGTGTGTGTTTGTGGTTATGTGTTTCTCTGTGTATACAGGTTATTATGAATTAGTGTTGAAAGTATTCTTAGACACAAGTGAACATCATGAATTTGAGAAATGTGCACAAGGACACATTAAAATTTTCACAATGAGGATAATAAAAGATACAAATTACAGACTGGAAGGACTGGGGAGGTAGGTCAGTGGTTAAGATCACTGTCTGCAGAGGACACAGGTTTTATTTCAAGCACCTACATGGCGGCTAATAACCATCTCTTACTCCAGTTCCAGGGGACCCAATGCCCTCTTCTGACCTCCACAGGCACTGCACTACTGCACTACACCGGTTCCCTTACATTCATACAGTCAATACACTCATACACATAAAATAAAATTTTAAATAAAATATTTTAAAAATCAAATCTCAAAAAAAGACAAAAAAATTTCAGATTGGAAAAAACAGATACAGTTGTGCAACTATAAATTAGAATATCAACAGTCCTAAAATTGATGTAAAAAAGAAGGTGCATAAAGTTATTCATTCTTTTAAATAATGACCTAACCTGGATAATGTAAACAGGAAATTGCATGAAAAAATTTTAAAAATGTAAAATTGTCAAAAATCTTAAAAGTGTAACAATTCCATGAATTGTTAAAAAGATGAAAAAATAAGTAATTTATTATATTTTAAAAATATAAATGTTACAAAAAATTTGGCAATAAGTTGAAAAAGTATACTGAATATATTTAACTTGAAAATTAAAGATCATATTTTAAATAAAGGAATTAACCTGAAAAAGTTAAAATTATACATGTTTGCATGTGAAAAGGATGTTTTAAAATAAGATATCCAGCATATTAAATATTAATTTTAAATATCTTCAAAGTGATACAACTTCCTCTTAACACAATTTCTTCATATATGACAAACCTGACATGGCTTAAGTCTGATAGCAGAGAAGCTTTTAAGATCTGAGCCAGTATTATAAGGAAGTGAAAACAGCACTAAATTTTTATTTAATAATATATAATTTTATGGTGAAGTAAATAAGGGATTGTTTAATGTGAATATGTAAAAGGAATTGTATTTCAATTTAATAATCCTTGTGAAAACCAAATAGGACTTCAACACAAGAAAACACATAGGTATATTGTGAGTGCTTATGGTAAGCAGAATACTTCTTGTCAATAAAAGTGTCTTCTAAATATTGGGGAGCTAGAACAAGATAACAATGCAAAGGATACTCTATTGATCTTATTCCTACAGTCAGATGATTTAGAACAGCTTCTGAACACTAAATACATTCACAAAAAATAAGACAGAGCAGAGAACACACCTGCATGAATTTGTTACAAAATGCCCCCAAGAGAAGACTTTCAGAGAATAACAATCTCTAACCGGGATAAAGATCCACCTTCTATGAATGGCCAGATCACCTAATCACAGGACCACCACTAAGGTGGCAGGTTCATCATAAGGTATGATAAATAAATAAGAGGGATGTCTGGTGCATTGCTGAGATGATGAACTTTCTCGGCCCAGAATTCCCTCATCTTAGTGCAGTTCTTGTGGACTGCGGTTTCAGATATGTGGCTGTCTGTGTCTTGACAACTTTTCTGAAGTCTTCAGAAAAGCATAAATGCCCCATTTCTTTTTCAAGTCTTTAAAAAATATTCTATTATTTGTATTTTATTTGTTGTTTCTATTTTATGTTTATAAGTATATAACCTGCATGTATTTAAGTGTTCCCCAGTCATGCAGCACCTGTGGAGGCAAGAAAAGTTCATTGGATCCAATGGAACTGGAGTTACAGTTGTGAGGTGCCATGTGGATGATAGAAATCGAACCCAGGTCCTCTGCAAGAGCAACTACTGTTCTTAAGGGCTGAGACATCTCTCCAGCTTGTTCATATCTTTTTTTTTGTAACCATATTTTCCCTAATCCTTTGGGTTGCCACAACATCTTGTATGTCTTTATCTTTCCTCTGAAGCTCTCCTCCCCTCTTCACAATGTGTCTGCTACTTTACCAAGTGGTGTCTGTCTCACCACAATGGCTACTCTAAATGGGAAAGGCTCCATGTTTTATTTATTTGTTTTGTCTTCATTCTCCTCCTCAAGGCACATGCTTTCAACTAATAAAAAAAAGAAACCAGGCCCTGGTATATTCACAGAAGAATTATACCAGATAGTCAAAAAACTACAAGCAATACTACTTGTTAAAAATATAGAAACAGAATGAGAAATTCCAAAATCCATCTATGAAGCCAGTATTACTCTAACAGAAAAATTAAATAAAGACACAATGAAAAAAAGAGAAAACTTAAGAACCTTATCCTTAATGAACATATATATACAAATTCGCAGCAATACATTTAAAGACCACATAAAACACATCAAAAGGACCACCCGTCATGATCAAGTCTGCTTTATTTCAAAGATGCAGGAATAGTTCAATATATGTGTCAATAAATGTAATAAATCATATAAACGGGCTTATAGACAAAGATTTATAAGACAAAGACATTTCAATAGACACAAAAAAGATCTTTAACAAAATCCAACATAAATTTATGCTTAAAAATCTTGGATGGACTGGACCAGAGAGAACATATCTCAACATAATTAAAGCAACAAACACACTATCAGTATCATTCTCCTCTAAAATTTTTACTGTACTTTTGTGTATTTCATACAAAAAATCAACTTTATACCCTTTTCCCTTTGGCATCCTCCCATAGAACTCCCCCCTCCCAGTGGAGTTCATACATTCTGTCACTTGTGTTGAGGCTTATCATGTCAAGTTAGTGTCCCTAGATGTCCCTCAGTGCAAGTTAATTCACAGGGATCTAGTCAACCTATCTAGAATACCTCTCTTTAAGAAGACCAGCTCTTCCTCACCCATCAGTAATCAGCTGCCAATAATTCTTCCATGAAGGTAGGGACTTGCTGTTCATTTGCATAGTTCTGTGCTGGATTTTTGTCTGCTTAAGTTTGCAAGTATCCTGTGTTTGCTAACACCATTGCTGTAGGCTCATTTGATAAGAGTCCCAGGAGCCTATAGGACTATTTACATATGGCCATGTACCTCTTGTGTCTCTTACAATATTTCAGCCTCCTCTTCTGCAATG